TGATTACAGATTTCGATTATCTGATTAGCGAAACAAATAATTTACTAATTAAAATCCCGTTATTTTCGGCAAATGTTTTATGTTATTATATACACTACTGAAAGCTAAATATACTGGTCAAGTTTCCACCGACAGTTGTAAATTTTGTACGTGTAAGAACCTTGTTTCGCTGATTACAGATTTTTGATTATCTGTAATTAGCGAAACGAGCCATATACGTATTAAATATTATTATTTTCGGCAAATATTTTGCAAATATTGAGCATATAAAACCCATATTCACTGAATACAGTTCAATTTTTATTAGGTGTGTTATCCTGTTTCGTTTCGTTTCTTCGATTACAATAAGCCTTCTCCGGATGCTCGTGTTGGAAGTGGCGGGTAAGTCCCAGTGGGAAAGTTCAGTCGGACGTTTGCGGCCTAGTCGGGGCTATGGGTCCGCCAATTCGGGGCCTAGGGCGGTGTATGACAGTGGTTGTTGCAAGAGAGGGCCTACAGCGGGCGCAGCAACCCTGTTTATTTCTGGGGGCCTATTGCAGACATTAGCATTTTAAAAGGGGGCCTATTTGCCTCCCGCGCGGGCCCGCTCTAGAAGGTGAAAGCTTTCCCGCTAAATTTGGAACGCACATGGGGTAGTAACAGTATATATGAGTGAACCCCCCCCCCCGGGATTTTAACCAGGCTAAGTCTACTGGTACATACTTGAGAAACGTGTTGTTAGAACTACATACCCCTTTTACAAAATCCAATCGATATCCATCAAAACCATACTCCGTGTTGAGGTCACGAACCCAGTTCAACAATGTCTCGCGCACGGTCGCGACTGTCTGATTCAGATCAGGGAGGTAAGCCAACCGACACATTTCAACCTGGAATATGAAATATAAAGCGCCATCAACGGTGGTACTGTTCAGCTGAAATTCACTGCACTAACCATCGCCTGTCACGCTTGCTTAACTTTTGCGTGCGTGCGCGTGTGCAGTAACTGGTTTGCTAGAACCGCTCGTTTGCTCCCGGTGTTGTTCGCTCCTATTGTTATTAAATATATATTAACGTGTCCTTTTAGTAAAACAACTTACAGGTAACGTTGTGACAGAAATTTGCAAGGTAGTGCTAATCCGTGAGCGACATTTGTCATCAGACATTTGTATGCTGGCTGGCAAAATTGCAAACAAATGACGTCAAAGTGCGAAGTTAGTACTATATAATTAAACACATCCGATCACGCATACGTATCTTGTTGTGAATATTTATTAGATGATTTCAAATTGTGTACACAAATAAAAAATAATAATGCGACTGCAGCGAGCAAGCCGGATTTTTTAAAAACATGTTACACATTCCTGGAAAGCATGGCTCTTTAGTTGGCACTTACATTTTCTTGTTGTTCGTTGCTCCAATCGATATCACAGTAGGTGTGGTAGTCAGCTTCGTCGTTAAACGGGACAAATTCAGTGAAGTTATTTGCATTATCTATAGGACATCCACTCCAGTGACAGCCGTCAGGATATCCCATGTGATTCAGTACTCTGTGGAAAGTATATTCATTTAGATATCTGCATTATTTGGATAGCATTGAAAACATGGCGATGCGTGCGGTACCATGAAGAGAACATTAGAATAAAATGCTGACACAATACAAATTTGAAATTATCTCCTACCACAAATGTTTCACCTGAATTAATATAAATTCGTTTTTGCAGAGTCAGAATTATCTAGGGTCAAACTTCACCATTCATGAACTATAACAACTGAATCTTTTATTAAACATTGAACTTTTGATATTGTTCCGATCAAAACACAATATTACACAAACGTATACAGTTAACATTATGGTAGTTAAATTGTATTCAGGGGCATATGCTATTGACTAATGGTGACCTTTGGTGCATTTTTTTTTCAATCAATCAATCGATCAATCAATAAACAACTTGACCATAATTGAATACTCACAAGTCTGCCATGACCCACACGTCTCTACTGTGACACGCTGCTATCAGGTCTTTGAGGTCCTGTTTGCTGCCAAAATGTGGGTTCGTCTCGTATATATTTTTTGACCAGTAACCATGAAAACCGAGTTCTGTGTTTTCAGCAAATGGTGAAATCCAGATAGCATTCGCCCCTATAAAGAAAACTCAAGTGACAACATGTTTACTGATGTAGTTCTCTTACAATGGAAATAGCACGAGTTCGTGGTTGTTTCCATGTCAGTTTCTCAAAGATGTATATAACGCCATTCGATAAAGAATTCACATACACATAGATTAAAACGACAATCATATTCAGAACCAGAATTCAGAATCCATGCAAATGATGATGTACATGTTGTCTGGTACGATCTTTATTTTGAAGGGCAATGTCAGCGCCTCTCATAGAATAATATAAGATGAAATTGTAGAACAGGTTCCAAATAGTACATTAATATATATAAGCAAAACTTGGAGGGAAAATACTTGTCAATTCTTTTGGTCATAAACATGATTTACACTACATAATGACAATAACATATCAGATTATATGCTTGGAGACAGTATCACGAATATCTGAGTTTCAACATCAGCATTATAAATGTCTTTATTCTGTGCACGCATTTCTGTTTTATTTTAAACAGTTGAACTTGGTGAACATTTTATTATGATTGACTAGGCAGATTGTTTTTACAATTGTTTGAATTTTTGAAACCAAAAGAAAGTGACGTTGTGAGTGAAATAAAACCATTGTCTTGAAAAATTGAGCGTGGACGACAGTCCGAGCAAGTTAATAAAATATCCCACTTTGATATTATATCGAATATGAACAGTTTGAGACATTGTAACCCCCCAAAAAAGGTTTCACGCCAGGCACGATAACAACATCAAGTACAACAACGACGACAGACAGACAGACAGACATTCCATGTCATGAACATTTCCCTTCATTTATAATTCGGGCGAAGTTATTATTTTACACGATTAATATCTTGAGGCTAATACTCAATACATCCACGCTCCTGTACAGATAATACTTGTAACATAGCAGGAGTTCCTGGGTATAATCAATACGAATAGGTTCATACTCACCAAGACCGTTGATGTAGTCCAAGTTATTCTCAATGCCCTTGAACGTGCCGCCACAATACTCGTACAGTTCCTGACAATCCTCATCTGGGGACTTGTCCGTATGCGCAAACCGGTCCGTCAGAATCTAAAGTTTATAGGGGGTAAGTGTTACCCACAAAAAATCAGAATGGGCTGTAAATATTGTTATTTATATATGCTTGTCAAAAATAATTTTTTCACATTAAGTCTTGTTGATATTTTTGTTTTGTTCTTTATTTTCGACAATTTTTGTATTTTCAAATTCTTCCAGCTCACCC